GCCAGCTATGGAGGCTGGGATATGGCGCTGCCCTCAGCAGCGCCCTGCTCCCCGCACGACCGTGCGCGCTAGCACCTTGCCTCTCAGCGCCAGCAGCAGCCCACGAACGTCCGCTCCAGCAGCGCTGCCACCAGCATGCAAGTGCTGAATGCAGGCAGCTATCTCTTTCCTATATGGAAAGTGCCTGCCTGCCTTCGCAGCCTGGCTGGCTTGGGCCTGGGCCCAGAAGCTTCCGGTAGGCCCCAGGATGCTGCGCCTCTGTTGCAGCTACTGGGCCTCATTCGGTTGGGCCTCCCAACTGTCTGTGCATGAGCCTGCGAATCTCGTCCAAGGCCTGCATCATTTTGAAAAGGCCTGGAAGGCCCTGGAATGTCTTGCTGCTCAGCCTGTATTTCCCTCAACCAACTGGCGTGTCGAAACTGCCTGGACCCCAAATACGAAATTGACAGCTGAGGGCCACTCGTGATTTTGTTAGGCCCGCCTTCACTTAGGGCGGGCACATTCGCAACAGGGCCCCTTAGCCTGCCGAGGACACAGATCTAGCAACAATGTACACGTGAAAAATTTCAGATCCGGTCCGGCCATCGGTTACTGACATAAACAAGATCATAAGATGTTGCATACTGTAACTGTGCAGACCAGAACAAGAACCGACCTCTCAATACAAAGTACAAGATAGCGTTGCGGAAGACTTAGATACCAATGATCCGAAACAATCAATATTGCAATGCAGCCCTGAACATACATCATCATCATCGTTCCATGGTGTGAAAGGGGTCTGGCACTTCACACAGGAAGACTGCACCAGCCCCAACCATACACAGACGAAGAAGAAGGGGGTTAGACGAAGAGGAGAGGAAGATGGGAATGTCGTCAACACCAAGTCTTCGGCACGGGCCCAAATAGTCCCTCGTCAAAATGTCTGAATCCCAAATGTCGAGTCTGGATCCAATGTCGTCAAGTCTCAAGTCACANTCTTCGGCACGGGCCCAAATAGTCCCTCGTCAAAATGTCTGAATCCCAAATGTCGAGTCTGGATCCAATGTCGTCAAGTCTCAAGTCACAACTCTCTCTCTCTCTCTGTCGTAGTCTGCTGATCCTGAGAAGTCAGGTGGTGAGAGGGTGAGAAGAGATGGTGGAATTAGAAGAGGAAGAGGAAGAACTCTCTCTCTCTCTCTGTGTCCAGTACTAACCCGTGAAGTTGGCGCCTTGATGCAGGTACCTCGAAGATGGAGCTGGAGCTATGGCGCCACAGGTAAGTACCGCTGGCCTCCGCCAGCCATCTCCCTCCAATGCTACTACTACCACCTACTAGCGCCCAGCGCTGAAGACTACACCTAGAGCTATGGGCGCCCAGCGCTGAAGACTACTGCTAGCGCTGAAGACTACTGCAGCGCTCCTCCTGAGTGCTGCGGCCGAATCCTGAAGACTACTCGTGACTACTGTCCAACTACCTACCCGTGAAGTGCATGGGAACTTCCTATGTACTACTCGGGTGCCTCCTGACTGCAGGCGAGGCAGTCCAGGAGGCTGCTCTTGCCAATGCCGAAGGGAGGCAGGGGCTGCCGCTGCAGCTCCTGCTTGAGCTGTCGTGGGGAACAGGCCAGAAATAGCCTGTTCCCGAAACCCTGTTTTTGTGCCTGAGTCTTAGGGTAGGTCGGACACAATGAGGGCCTGAAAATGGCCCTCCGTTTCAGGCTGAAAAGCCTCTGGGCCTGAAAGGCCCAGAAATTGGCTGAAAACGGAATAGGGCCTGCAGGCCCTCGTTTTTCAGTTTCAGGCTGAAATGACCGGGGCCTGTAAGCCCTATTTTCTAGGCTTTTAGGCTGAAAGTACGGGACGGGCCCTGCAGGGCCCGTGTGGCTACGCAGTATGCCACATAAGATCTCTCGGACCATGACACAATGGGTAGGGTACGACAACAGCAGCACCCCCATCAGGGCCATCACCAATACAACGAAAAATCGGAAATTTGTCTTGAAGGATAATCCAGACCCAGGGTGCTCTATGACCCTTTATCATGAGAAAAGCAAACACCCCCTGGGAAAGTGACTGGCGCAATTATCACGCTTTGTGAATGAGGAACGGTCATCTGCAATGACCTGCCTGTCTGAAATTCAGCAATTTCTCAGAG